AACAACAACAACAACAAACAACAACAACAACAAACAACAACAACAACAAACAACAACAACAACAAACAACGACAACAACAAACAACAACAACAACAAACAACAACAACAACAAACAACAACAACAACAAACAACAACAACAACAACAGCAACAACAGTAACAGCAGCAGACCTGGTTATCCCTATAGCTCGTCTTTTTGTTGGTGCAACGGAGTTTGTGTATGACAGCCGAGAAAGAAATCCCCAACGACAAGGGGAGGGCCCAGCAGCAGATTGTACAGCAGCACAGAGGGGGGGGGCCCATGTCTTCCACCACATATCCTTGGCTGCTGCTGCTGCGCCCTCTGCTGCTGCTGCTGCTGCGGCGGCGGCGGCGGCGGCGGCTGCTGCTGCTGCACCTACTGCTTTTGCTGCACATGCACGCAGCCTACCGCTGCAGCGCGTGACAGCGGCAGCAGCAGCAAGCCCTGAGTCCTCTAAAGAGCGGACAATAGAAGCAAAGAGAGACGTTTGTCTCCCTTGTCTCCTTAGGCAATTATTATTTAATGCCTCTTTAAGGGTACATTTTGAGCTGTAAAGGTCACCGCGTAAGGGGGCCCCAGGGAGGCCCGAAGAGCCCCTTGGGGGTCCCCGAGGAACTCTTTGGGGGGCCACGGGGGCGCCCACACGGGGGGCCTCCCATAGAAAAGAGGACGGTGAAGAGGCAACGGGTCTTCTTAAAGACCCAATGAAGGAAGAAAGGGGGGGAAAGGAAGAAAAAGGAGAGGAAGGGGCACCCCTATGGGGGGCCCTCCCACGTAGCGGAAGGGAGGTGTCTCTATGTACGAGGAAAGCTGAGGACAGGGACAATAACTGAATAAAAATAAAGAGAAATAAAGGAAAGAAAAGGGTTAAGGAGGGAGGGGGGTTGGGGCCCCTCTGTCGCATTTTTAAGGGGGCCCCCCACTAGTATCGGCCTCTAGGGAGGCCCTCGGAGGCCTTTTAAATGCCTGATGGTGCCTCCAATTAACTAAAGGGTCCCAAAGCGCTACATGATTCATATACTGGGGAATATATGAACAAAATGAAGAATTAAGTGCAAGAAAATAAGGGCAAAAATGAGCCACAGACACCTAAACAACGCTACCGAGACACCGTAGCAGGGGCAGCTGGGGGGAAAACGCGACAAGGAACTACAATGAAAGGCAGGTGGAATATATTGTAAAAGAATTAAAGTTCGTTTTTCGCATAATTAATTAATATTAACAGATGAATTAATTTATTTTGTTGTCAGATACTTTAACATTAACGGCGATGTGCCATGCCCAACCTCGGCTTGTCGCCTGCGCTGACGACCCAGTTGTCTATACCCCTCAGCTTCCGTTTTCTTAATTTTATCTTCAGTAATCTAATTGCATTCATTCCCCTCTTTAACTATACTAATTAAATGATAGTTTCCAACGGAGGCAAAAATTCGGCCGCTTCTCACGAATAACCCAATACGCGGCTAGGCGGGGTGGGGGCCCCCCAAGAACCACAGGGGGGGGCCCACTGCCCAGGGGGGCCCCTGTAACAGTCATAGTTGTTATTCTTTTTTCTTTTGTGCTTATAAATTAGTATGTGTACCTCTGCTTAGCAAAGTACTTTTAGCGTTCCGGAGTTACACCGTCAAGGCCCTCGACACCCACGAGTGTCCCTGCTCTAGAACAGCAGCTCTAGGACAGCTAGCCACAGCTAGCTACAACTAGCCACAGCTAGCGGAGCAACTGTAGCTAGCTAGAGGCAGCTAGTGGTAGCTAGGTGCAGCTAGCCACCGATAAGTGAAAAATCGACCCCTAAAGTTCCCCATCGCGTGTTACGGTGCGTGCAAAGGGGTATATTGGTTTGTCTGTCCTTCTTTTCTCTTTATCACAACAAAAAGGCAGAGGACTGCAACTTGCAGTTGCTGCTCCTCTGCACTACATCGCTATCTGTAGCTAGGTAGTTGCGCAATGGGCATCAGCTTCTAGCATTGCGTCTTGCTGCCTACTTGCCAACTTGCTAGCTGTGGCTAGCTAGCTGCGGCTAACTAGCTGTCGCTTACTTGCTGTGATTAGCTAGCCCTTCCTAGCTAGCTGGGGTCAGCTAACTGTGGCTAGCTAGCTGTGCCTAGCTAGCTGCATCTAAAGGGGGTTGTCTAAGGAGAATTACTCCTTCTGTGTATTGTATTAAATGGCCTGCATCTCCATCTCCTGCTGCTTCGCAGCAGTTAATACTCCCTGCAGCAGCTCTATGCTGCTATACAAACGCATGCAAAGATCTTCTCTTTGGCTTTGCCACTCCCGCTGCTGTCGCTGCTGCCGTGCTGCTGCCAAGCGCCCTTCCTCTTGAGCTCGCTGACACTCGCTCTGTGACTTCTAAAGAAACCCCACAACACGAACACCAACAACACCGCCCTCAGCGTTGGCAACACTCATAAACCCTAAACCCTGAACAATCTACGTTGGAGGGAGGTATGCTGACAGCCACGCTGAGGCGGCCAAACGAAGACAACACCAATGGTTTAGGGTTTAGGGCGTGGGGCTGATTGTTTAGGGGTTATGAATTAGGGTCTAAGACTTAGGGTCTAGGGTTTAGGGTTTGCATTGCACTCTCAGCTCATCCTTTAGCTGTGCGTGGGCCTCCCTTAAAGCCTTAAGATTCCCTTCGTGCTTCGCTGCTTCGGCCTGTGCAAACTGGAGCTGCTGCTGCTGCTGCTGTTGCTGTTGCTCCCTCTGCTGCAGCTGTTGTTGCGCTTGCTGCAGCTGCTCATCTGCCTTGGCTGCTGCTTGTGCAGCTGTTGACTTCAGCAGCTCCTGCGCCTTCAGGTGGTTCTGCTGTTCATCCTTTACCTGCTGCTGCAGCTGCTCCAGCGCCTTCTACACCCATAGCAGCAGCAGCAGCAGCAGCAAAAGCCGCATGTCCTCCCTACCTTGCTTTTAAGGTAGAAGTCATTCGATATTAGGGTTTAGGGTTTAGATTCATATAGGAACATCCACCTGCCGAGCGTTAAGGAGATCGCGCTGTCGCTGCTGCTCTGCTTCTGCTGCTGCGGCTTTTGTTGCTAGCTGACGTATCTTGGTTTGCATCTGTTCTGCTGCCGTTGCTGCTGCTGCTGCTTCCTGCTGCAGCTCAGCTATCCGCTGCTCCAGCTGCTGTTGCTGCTGGAGCTGCAACTCTTCCGTCTCCCGCCTCTCTTCCAGCCGTTGCTTCAGTTCCCCCACTCTGGTTGCACAGGTACATGTCTCAAACCCTAAACCCTAAACCCGAAAATCCCCAACCCCTAAGCGCCGAACTCTAAACCCTAAACCCGAAACCCGAAACCCTAAACACCAAATCCCCACCCCCAAATGATAAACCCCAAACCCTGAGCGTCAAACCCTAAATATCGAACCACAAACTTCTTCGCCGGGTGCAATCTCCCATACAATGTCAACGTATTATGGCTTAGGGTTTAAGGTTTATACTGTTGTTGAGTCTTTGTCAGGTTCGCTGTAATGTTTTGCTTCTCTTCTAAGGCTTCCTTTTCTCCCTGGAGGCGGCGCTGTGCTTCTTGCTGCAGCTCTTGCTGCAGCTCGAGGATGCGCTGTTGCTGCTGGTGCTGCTGCTGCTGCAGCTGTTGATGCTGCTGCAGAGTTCCATCCTGCTGCTTCATGTGCTTGTCTTTCTCCTCTAGCAACTGCTTCTGAAGCTGCCGCTGCTGCTGCTGCAGTCTGTCAACTTCCTGCTGCAGCATTTGCTGCCGCCGGTCCGCCGCGTTTTGCTGCTGCTCGAGTTCCGCCTGAAGCCGTGCGGTGTCCTGCTGTTGTTGCTGCAGCAGCAACTCCTTCTGCTGCAGCTGTAGCTCCCGCTGCTGCAGTCGAATTGAAGAACAGAAGTTAGCGCAGCACTGACGAGGAGCAGAACATGGAGTGTATGTGCTCTTAAGATGTGCTGCTAGCTGGCTAGCCAGCTAACTAGCCAGCTAACTCGCTATCTCTACGGACTGGCTGACTCACCTGAAGATCGCTTAGGAGTTTCTCGTTAGTGTCCTGCCTGTCGTGGATTTGTCTTTGCAGCAAAGCTTGCTGTTGTTGCTGCTGCTCTAGCTGTTGCTGCTGCTGTTGCAGCTGCAGCTTCTGCTGCTGCGCCAGGAGACGGGATTCATAGAGCTCTTTATACCTCTCCTCAAGGCTTCCCTGCGCCAACACAAGTCCCAGCTAAGTAGATAACTAGCCGCTAGTTGACCGCTAGCTGGCTGCTGGCTAGTTGCCAGCTAGCTGTTGGCTGACAGCTAGCAGCTACCTAAACCTGCTCACACGGCACAGCTAGCTGGGTGTGGCTAGAGTAGCTGGGTGTGGCAAGCTAGCTGCGTGTGGCTAGCTAGCTGGCAGTAGGTTGGTGTGCAGAGGACGGGCTTTTAAGAAGGCGTTTTCTATGAGTAGTTCTCTGCGCTCGTCTTGCATTAAGTTTGCTGCAGACAAAGACACAGAAAAGGCCTTGCACGGCGACCGTAAATCCTAAAGCTCAAGCTGTCAACCCCCGAGGGTTTAGGGTGTACTGACACGTCACTGTTGCTCCCTGCAGCTCGCATATGCGCTGCTTTAACAACATATTTTCTCGCTTTGTTTCGTTGTGCCTTTGAGCAGAAGACGCCAAGTCGGACTCTAGGCGACGCAGCAGCCGAGCGCTTTGCTGCAGCAGATGCAGATGCAGCAGCACCAGCACCAGCAGCAGCACAAGATGCACCAGACGCAGCAGATGCAGCAACAGTAGCAGGTACAGCAGCATCAAATCTGTGGAGTCAGCAGGCAGCACATCGCTGCCGCAGCAGCTGCCTCGCACCTGCTCTGTACTCTTCAGCTCCGCCTCAATTCTAGCGACATAATCATCGGCTTGTTGCTGCTGCTTTTGGTGTTGCTGCTTGTTGCTATGGTGCAAACCGGTGATCTCCTGCTGCTGCAGCGGCAGCAAGTGCAGCAACTTGCTGTTATCAGCGCAGCACTTGGATACTTCGCACAGCGTCGAAGGCCGCGCCCCGTTGCCTGCATGCAGCAAAAAACCCCAAGAGCTCTTGCATACCTGCACATTAACTTAAACATTTATAATCAGGAAGGTGTGTCACAGGCGTATAGATACATTATGCGTATATATTATGTATGGGTGTATATAATTAAACAACCCTTTAAAGACGTAACAAACCCTTTATAGAGCGAACAAACCCGTAAGATCGAGAGTAGTAAGACATCTATTCATCTTCATTGCTGCTGCTAGTTGTGCACAACCTTCTTCCCCCATTGCGTTGTTTCTTAGGTGTATCTCTCTGAGGCTCTTGCTGCACAGACACCACAATAAATCCCCTTTAAGAGCATGCCCTCAGCTCTACGCAGAAAAGCCATTCACACCACCAGATGGTGCTGCATCTGATGCTGCATATGTTGTTGCTGCAGGATGTACCTGTTTTGCAATATGAGTCCGCTGATGGCATCTGCAGCCCGATGCCCCAACTGGCAGTGCACTAAAGACAAAGATTCCAATGCCTTCAGCCCATATATGCTGTCGCAGAGTAGCTGCACAGCAGAAGTATTGCTGCTGTCACCGTCTGCAGCAGCAGCAGCAGCAAGCAGCAGCACGTACCAGGCACCACAGCAGCAGCAGTCTCAGTTGCGGAGGCAGAAAGCACCTTGCTCTAATAGGCTTCACCCTACTTCTCCTGCTGCACCGGCTGCTGCTGCAACACGAGTTGTCAGCTTACCCGAGCCTATGGGGTTCCAGTCAAGGCGGAGATGCTGCAGGTGCCTTAAACTGCCGATGGCGGAAGCAATTTCTTTGAATCCTTTAGAGGAAATGTTGTTTGCCTGGGCCAAGCAGCAAAGCAAATACAACTGCTCCCTTCTGCTGCACAGCTGCATGCTGCGACCAACGGGGCCTCCCGTTGCCTGCTGTGTGTCATTTCAGCAAGTTAGCAACAGAAGAGGATTCAGAAGACAACTTTGCTGCTGCTGATTGCTGCATGGCTGTACAGACCGAGAGGTCCACAGATCGGAGCCCTGTACACCTGAAGAGGTGCTTGGCGATGGAGGGGCAGGCTTTGTCTCCTAAGCATCTTTGAGGCAGCAGCAGCTCCTCCTCCATCCCCTTGGACAGGCTTCCAAGTACCTGGTCGACCTGCAGTAGCAACGACCCACTGCGGCTAGGAGCCTCCGCAGCTGCAGAGCAGCAACAGGTGCTGTCGCCGGTGCTGCTGGTGCAGCTGCCACTGCTCTGTTGTCTCTGCAGAAGCTGAAGCGGAGCAGCAGAAATGCTCTCAGTCGATGTCTGAGAGCATATACCTCCACTATAAGCAAATCTCGAGTCCCTTATAGCTCCCGAGGAGCTCCTATCCATATGTAGTAACTCATGTTGCATGCGCTGCTGCATGCATCGGCCATCTATTCCATTCATTTTCTTCACTAAAGTTATACAAATCGCCACAGAGCGTCAATAAGAGAGACACACAAAAATAGCGAGGGATATGAGACTCCTCTCTCAACTAGGGAAGAGAGAGAGACATAGGTAGCTAGGGATATGAGACTCCTCCGTCCCCTAGCAGGGAGCGCTGGGGAACGTAAGCATGCAAGCCTTAGGCCTCTCTCCTCCTCAACACTCACACCAGAAGCAAAGCTACTCCGCAGCTAGAGGCCTCAAGCATCAGCCGAGCTGCAACTACTGGTTCTGCTGCGGGCTCCGCCACAGATCTCTGCGCAGCACACGGGGGAGGGAGGTCACCTCAACCGGTACAGGGCGTGTATTGATCCGGGGGGCCTCATTTCTTTTATTTGTCTGTCTATTGTAATCATTTGATTTCTTTTTTCCGTCGACAAGCTTAGGAAGTGAGCTAATTGCTAGTCAAAGCGCAGAAGGCTAATGATGTTGTGTAGCTGCGGTTCACCACCCTAAGAACTGCGCAGATCTGTAGTTTTCTTCTCTTCTATCTGCCTGAATAGCCCAAGTTTCTGTTGTGTACGTCTTAAGGAGACAGTATCTGAGGGGTGGCTAGAAGGCAAGCATTCGCACACCTCCCTGTCCCCTCTGCTCTCCTCTAGCAAGCCCCGACCGGCTAGTGGGGCTCGCGCATGCATGCTGGGCCATTATCGGCTAAATCGCTAGACATACGGAAAGAAAATGTTAATAGAGCTAAGGAAAGACCAGGAATAGCACAATGTAGTCGTCACTTTAGGCCTCTTGAGCTATTCACCACCATCGCCATAACCACTATACAGTGCAGGAATTTCTTTTAGGCATCGGGAAACACCCCAAACTGTATTCTGTATAAACGTTCGTGAAGTTTAAGGATTTTACTAATATTAGGGGCTACCGCAAATGTTCTGACGTTCCGGTCAAAACATATTGGTGCGGTTTGCTGTTGCAACACTCGCTGGCATTGAACCTCCATGTAGAGTGTGGGGAGGCGCCATGATAACGATTGTTACAGTAACAAGCAGCACAAGCAAGGTCGGATGGAGGACGTCTACGGGAGAGCCTACATGTTAGTACCATGGGGCAATTCTCTCCGCAGCGGCCCCTGACTCCTGCGCTCCCTGCATGAAGGATTACCTGCAGTTGAAAGTGAATTGCCTCAGGGTACAAACATGTAGGCTCTGATCGAAGCATGAAGCCACTAAGGCCCCACGTTTGTTGCAGAGTCTTCCTGATGTGCATACTGGATAAAAACGTCGATGAACTCCTCGATGAATGAGGCGTTATGTAGAAATATGGTGGACTTGTTAGTAAAGTTTTCTGGTATCCAGGGACTCGGCTGACCTCTTGACTGTGCGTGAATTGTTGCTTGTACCGTGTGTACCACTCAGAGTGGGCAAAATAGACGGGCAGTCTGGGGAAATGGACTAGCGTTTTGGCTGTGTGTCTGGCGCCAGTTGCTTGCTGAGGCGAGGAACATGCAAATTGCGAGAACGCCTCCCTGCCTGCGCTAACGTTTTTCGGTTCTTTTGTAGATGCGTGGAGTTCTAGCGAGAAGAATGGCCTACTTCATTTTGCTTCGTGACAGGTAGAAGGACATTTTCCAGAGATCGTAAAAGGATCATTGTTTTTCTGCATGCTCTGTAGTGACATCCAAACCGGTGCAGCCAAGCCGGTATCTTTGGAAAACACGTCGATTAGAAATGAAAGGTTCATCCGAAAGACCTTCACCGTCTCTCTGATCTTGAAGTTTCTTTTTCATCCATTTCTCATACTGCTTGGGGTTCGGCCTGGCAGAGCATGCCGATACAGAATGCGCAGTGAAGTCAAACGTCCGTAATCTCATCGCCCCGCGGGTTTGGTAGAGAGGTACAAAGAATGTGATAGGCAAAACGGCGGGGACATCATTTTGGTCCCTCGCACAGCAACGCCGAAAAACAATTGTGTTCTTCAAATTTTATATCCGTTTCAGACACATTCCTGCAGCTGATAACTGCTTTTGTGCAACAGTGATCAGGCGACCACTAATAAGCTCGGATACCAGCATATTTGGAAGCGTGTAGGTGATCCAGGTCCTTCTGGACGCGAACCCCATTGAATACTCCGGCTTTTGGGTGTGCCGATGAAGGATCTTGTTTTGGCAGCAAGTAAGATGCATTGTTTGAGGTAAACACCCATATATTAGTGCCACACAGGATTTAGTGTGTGCATATTCCTACGCAAACGCGTTATGACATTTCGAGGAAGCTTACCGGTGATCTCACTTCAGATGTCCAAAAATTGCAATATCCCACTGCCGAACTAACGGAAGAACCTGTAAACTCATAGATCCAGCTGCTCATAATGTTGAGACCCTGTTTAGACATTACTTTCGTTGTTGACAGCTTCATTGATACAAAGTAAAACCAACACCACTGCTTCATCAGCACACCCAAAGGCCAGAGTATTCGATGGGGTTCGTGTCTAGAAGCACCTGGATTAGCGAGCTTATTACTGGTCGCCTGTTGCACAAGAGTAGTGTTATCAGCTGCAGGGATGTGTCCCAAACAGGAATAAATTTTGAGGAACGCAATTGTTTTTCGGGTTTGCTGTGCGAGGGAGCGAAGTAATGTCTTCGCCGTCTTGCCTATCACGTTCTTTGTAGCTTGTTTCTAACAACCCGAAACGATACGAGTCGAGCAGTTCTGCTGCTACGCTTGGCCGTGGGAAGGTCTCAGAAACACAGCTACCTTCTATACGCTTCCTTTTGGACTGCACATTGCACTATTCCACACAATACGGAGGGAGTCCGGTCTTCCCCTGCTCTACAAAAGCCCCATCGACAACTGCATGCACTCGATGGGCCTGGTGCACTGGCGTTCAGGTGCGCCACAGCTTACGTAATTCTTCAAATCGAGCAAGACGAAAAAGTAACAAGAATTCAGGTGTCTTCATTACTGTATAACTGGTGTTATAACGCGTACACATTTTTTCAATAATTAGACTCACCTACATAGATCGTCCCTTGGCTGTTTGCAGCGGATCCAAGGTACTCTTACGTACTGAGAAAACTACCCCTCACGGTATTTTGTTTAACTGTAGTTCTGTCTCCAACCATATCGCACTAGCTTTTTTTAGTCCTGCCTTCCGGGGGAGCAAGTGGGTCGTTGAGGCCTAGTGCACAGCGGCAAAGAGCCTTCTACTACTTGTTGGCGATGGAAAATTCTGTGAGCCACTCCAAACCAAGAGTTACCTATGCTTTGACCCGATTTTTGAAAAGAAACCCAGGTTAACACGTGGTCCTTACAAGAGTAGCGGTGATTTCCTTGCATTGTTCAAATCGTGCTCCAGTGTCATACACAGGTGTGCGCCTCTGGGGTAGACATATTGACTGGACAGCAGCGAGGAAGAACGTTTGGATGCGTGAAAGCGTGTATTCAAACAGAACTCTTTGTTTGCATGCCCGCTACACAGGCTCAAGTAGCCAATGCCTCTATTGCCTCGGAGGCCCAACAAAAGTTCGATCAGCGGCAAGGCCAGAGTTCCAAAACGTGCTCGTGTTCTGTTAGTCGCTTACTTGATGGGACGAATGCCGAACAACTCAGCTTAATGAAGGCTGAATTTGCCCGGCATGGGGGGCGCCTAGATTTGCAAGAGGTGCGATGCTCCTGAATAGCAGGATAGCCAATACTAGCTCACTAATTGACGCATGAGACAATTCGAGCATTCGTGATGGCTACACTAGGCAAGACCACTTTTTCCGCGCCTAGTCCTTAAAGAACGTATAGGCCACACAACCACTGCTTGAAATACCATCATTTCGCTGCGAAATGTTCTTCAATAGTTCGCGGAGCTGATGTTCCAACTAGCGCCATGGAGTCCACCAGAAGGGCTGGGAAGTACACCAGTGAGCTTGATGGGACACGCTGACTTCGTGCGGTGTGGATGCACTGCCCAAGGCGCCTTCTATCGAGGCTAGAGGATGGAAAGCGCTGCTCGTAGCTTGAACGAAACACGAGTTTCGCATAATATGTGACATCTTTCAGACCTTGCAAACGTTTGACGCCGAGCCAACGCTTGTCGACAAAGGTGCAACAAGCCCATCCCACTCTTCTGTTGGCTCGGAAGTCGTAGAAGAGAGAACAGACATACTGGACCATGCCTCTAGCCAGTTGGCGGATCAAGGTATGTTGCCCGGTTGGCGTAAGTGGTGTCTAACTACCGTATGAGAAGAAGTCAAAACATGGCGCTTTATTTGAACTGCAAGCGCATGTTGCTCATGTTCCTATTCGCGCAGCAATTTTAAGCAGGGCTGCACTTATGGCAGAAGCGTTTGAAGCTGTGGACGTGAACGATGAAGGCTTCATTAGATGGGAGGTCAGCTCAAGAATCTCGTCTTCAGTTATTTTGTATTCGCTGTAAGAAAAGTTTACTAACAGCTACGTAGCAAACAGCTCAAACACCGCAGCACGCCGGTGTGAGGTCTGTGTGAAAAAATGAGTGCAGTCGATCACAAGCTATTTGGAGCGGACCCTCGCGTCAGGCAGGTTCTGAACCACTACCACACTCTGCTGGTGCTCTGAGTCCCGACAGCATAGCTACTTGAACGGCCTATACTTAGGCTCTAAACGGGTACTTCAGCTAGCAGTCTGGCGTCTTATCAGTCAATTCAACAAGATTCTGGCAAAAGTGTGAAACGTGTTTGCAGCTTTGGAGGCAACGAGGCGCTCCATCCTGTAAGATCATGTGGCTGCTATGCCAGTTAGTAAGGCGGTGTTTACAGCGAGAAAGTGATACTATTCCAATATGCAGTCTTCCAGCATCTCAGAATCTTCATCTGTTGATACACCATATTTATTCCGTTCGAATGATCGTGCCGATAGTGCTTAATTTGAACTAGGGGGAGGGCGCAAACAACCGGTTTCCAGGCAGACGCCTGCAACCGGTTGTTTGTTTGCGCCCTCCTCAACCCACACTAGCTCATTCCATCCTGTTCTGTTTTCCTAATCTCTTCAGTACACGTGCACAGCTCCAAGAATAGTAAATAATACTCAGGACCACATAAAAAGGTAAACGTGTTATACTTCCCACGAAAGGCTGGTAACGTGCTAGCTGAATAAGATTATAAGAATTTTATGGCCGACCTCCTGCGAAACCTTGCGATTCCTCCGCAGGCTAATGTACGTGGAACCTGTGGATAAGTTGTATTGCGTTTACCAATCATCCAAGTTCCTGCACATCTTGGATCCAACTTCAGTGAGTTCAACTCTTAACACCATAGTTCAGAGTTCTTCAACTAAGCATGGATGTGTACACTAGACATTCAGTTTGACCCTTTTCTGAGTGCCTGCAGAAAGGAGTGGTTTCTCAAGTAAATTCTGTAGCAGGTAACCAGTGGACGCAGGGTTGGAGGGTTGTGCACGCTTCGCAGATTCATGAAGCACACACGGTGGAAGTTGTAATACTATAGATTTTGAAGAGACCGTGCATCCATTAGTTAATCTGCGAAGCCTGCACAACCCTCCATAGTTAATCTGCGAAGCCTGCACAACCCTCCAACGAGGCAGGTGTGCCTGCGGGTTTGACCAGGTTCTATAGTGGATTTATGCTATGTGGACACATACGGGAAGATCGCTTTGGCTGGTAGGTGTATGGTTCCCTTATGACAAAGCTAAGCTTCCCCAACAGCTCTTAGGAAGTTGTAGTGCCCTGTTTGCAAGGGCTCTTTTTTGTGCAGGATACGATGGTAGCATCCACATGATGACAACAAATGGGTTAATGCTCACTGAAAAGCTTTCCTACAAACACCAACCACCTAGCTGCCTCGAATGGATGTCTGGTCCCAACAAACTCCTCAGGTCAGCCGACCTTCAGCTAACACTAGGAGTAGCTGCATAGACGCGATCTTTGCACAGTACCCTTAATAGTGGAAACATCCCAGCAGTGCAGTGCAGCTCAGATTCCGTAAATAGTAGTTAGGCTGCTTTCAAGTCGAGAAGGCGTGAGTGGTCAGATTGCTAATGTTCAGACCTGCTGTTTCTAACTCAGTGGGTGCGTGGAAGGGACATTTCAACTGTGGGATTTGGTAACATTCTCCGAAATAGCGAGCAGAAAGGCCCACAATGATTTTGTGACTCAGCTCCTTCATACTCCTGGTAATATTCGCAAAAATAAAATCAAAATCGCCGTCTTGCGTATCCCAACGGCGACTTGTTTAGTGCGCACTAATTCATCCATTTTCGCTGATGCTCTGGCTTTTTTTATGGTGCTGTTGCTGTCAAGCGCAGATGAAGGTGCATTTATATCTGCATCGGCAGACGCAACTTTGAAAATATGGGACGCGCAAGTTCTTGAGTGCAAACATGTCCTCAAAGGACATAGCAGAAGTGTTACAAGTATAGCCCACTCAAAAGAGTACAACTGCGTGCTTAGCGCTGGTCTCGACCAGGTGTGTGGCTAAACGGTCACACCAAGACAGACCAGCTTGATTGACGTTGATATGAACTAGGTGTTCAGCTAAACATCCACCCATTGTTCCTTTTATAATTTCAGTAGCTTAAGTCCGCAATATTCTAAGGCGACCATGTCGTTGAGTATAATATCCGGCTTCCTTTCCTCGATAATATGCGCCTTTCAGGATGCATTAGTCTGGAGTCCGTGCAACTTAAAAAAACCCATATGCCACTTGCGGGGCCACCCATACTCTCTGTGCGGAGTAATTGTCGTCCCTGGCACCCCACAGGTTGTCACAGCAGATGTGTCAGGAACGCTTCGTCTATGGGATTTACGCAATTTCAGATCATTTCAAACCTTCGGCGGACGTATGCTATTGCCAAGCAGCTGTTGGTTCCGGGCAACCTCACATAAGTCGATGAGAAAAAAGCACATTCCAAAACATGGTGTTAACAGATACGCTGGGCCCAATGCACCGCCATGTGAAATGCTTTGATACTTGTGCATTAGGGGCGACATGCTATGGCGACTTAAGCTCGATTTGCGCGCTTCCTCCATACAAACAGTGAGCCTGAACTGTGCTATCAATTTAAGAAGATACTTCCGGACCACACAAGGAGCCGTGCATTCAGAAAATCCCGTCGTCTAGGAATGCAATGCTTTCAGGATTGTAACAGGAGGATCTACGCTAGACGTCTACACCTCGCAGGAGATGTCATTCGCTGAAAAATGCTGGACCATGCCGGGGGAACTAACAGCTGCAATTCATAATTCGCAGTACAACAACATTCTGACAGTCAGCAAGACTGCTGTTCTTTCTTGGGATGCCGCGCAGGGCCAAGTTTTGCGGGTCAGTTGCATACACTGGCCCCGTTTGCCCCCTGCACATGACCAGCTGAATGAGTTCCAGGGGGAAAACTGCGAAATAACTGCATGCTCCCTAGGTTCTTCACGACGTCGAAGGTGCTGAAGTAACGGCCGCCAGTCTAGACTCGAAGAAGCGGAAGCTGTACCTAGGTGACAGCGCCGGCGGAATATCATGTTTCAATGCCTCAACCGGAGCAGAACTATCAAGAACCCAACCCCACTCAAGTGAAGTGACCCAAATATGTCCTTGGCCGGGGACAAAATGCTTCGTCTCTGCGTCTTCAGACGGACTAGTGCTTGTTCACGAAGAAGTTGGGACACCGCAAGTCGTATAGCTTGCAGCACATGGAGGTGTTAGCAACTATGCTTAGGGCCGGCCAGTTGTCCTTCCGCCAAATAGTGATTGAAGTTTTAGTCCACCGTCGACGTACTCTTGCGGTCTGCAGCAACATAGCATGAGAAAATCCGAAGGCGTTTGAGTACGTTTCTCCTGCTATGTTGCTGCAGACCGCAAAAGACTCAAGTAATATTCCAAGCTACAATTGGAAAGGAAGGAGTTGCATGCATGACAATTTGCGAAGCGTCCAGATTGCTTGCCTGTGGAAGCAACAAGGCTGTGCATATATTCTGCCTTCGCAGATTACGCAAAGAGAGCTCATTAGAAGGGTTCTCGTAAGTACATACACATGAGAGGCATGAGTGACCCGTCTTCATTACGTGTCCTACGGAAATGCAAAGGCTGTCTCGCCCATCCGAGGATGACTTCCAATTTGTTCACTCTGCAGATCATCAGTCCAAGCCATAGATATCTCCCCTTCTGGAGAATTCCTAGTGGCTGGCGAGGAATGTACGTGCCAATCAAAATTCAAATCAATCCAGCAGCACGGTCCAGCAGATGGTGTACCGCTGGTGTACCCTTTCACAGTTGCTCTTGCCCATGCCAAACAGGCTACATCTCGGAGATGAAGAGTTGTAAATATGCACTACCTCGCGGTGTATTCCTCTTGCATGCGCAGCGGGTGTCATTTCAGTATGGCGCCTTAACAACAGCAACCAGCGGCAATCGTGGTGTTTTTTCTATTGCTGGGAAGACATATCGCAATTGGAGAACCTCATGTGTGAAGGGGTAACTGCAGAGGAGTTGCTGAATCCAATGCAGGAGGCTCAAGAACAACCAGGCAGCAATCAAACGATGAAATTTACTTACAAGCGTCGATTATTCGCTTCACCGAATAAAGTTCAGGAACTCATTGTCCCAGCTAGTATACGAGCTGTTAAGGTTAATAGGTTTTCTACCGGCAGCTTGCAGGTCTACTGTGCCGACGAGCGGGTGAGAGGTCATAGCTCACCGGGAGGGGCGCTATTGAAATGCACCATAAAGGTGGTGGAAGCAGCGGCTTGGTTGCAGCTCTACGCAGGACCCACCATGATATGAATATCGTAAATAATAGAATATTCCCATTAATTTCGACAGCTGCAAATGTACTGCGCTCTTGCACAGGGCAACATTCGTCTATGGGACCTGGCTAAAGTTCAGGAGAGGTCGCTCCTGGAATCTTCTCGTTCGTGTTCACCTCGGCCCGGTCACGAAGACCTGAGGCTCTCATCTGAAACCGAAGAGGAGCCTAGTCCGCGTCACGGCAGAGCTACTATATCCGCCAAGTACGAATTGATCCCCTACGTCACCAACAACGGCGTGGAAGCGGTTGCGGAGTATTTTTGTCTGCGGATTCCTATGCACACGACAAAACTGTGGGCACTGCAGTGCATTTCGTTGCTAAGCAGGTTCCGGCGGGGAGTGATGGCTAACCGGCGGCGAACATTCCTGACGCAACCTACACCTGAGTGGCCGTCCGAGACGGATGACGAGCACCACGACTTGTCGGCAATGCGCAAACGGCGGGACGGAACAAAGGGTAGGAACGTCCGCGCTTTTATGGTCACTCAAGCTCACTCAAGCCGTTGCTTTCAGCTTTGCAAATGATTCGCATAGCTACGCGTGCGCTGCATGCTTCCCAACTATCGTGCCCCTGTGCGCCCTCAGTCACACGCCCGAAGAAGCGTTTTTTGGGTAAGCCATGCGACATGCCCAGTTAAACGGTTAACAGTGTTCCACAATTGATTCCGTGATTGCTCAGCAATCACGGTGAAAACCGTTAAGGGTCACTTGATTGTCACGTGTGCACGCCGAGGTCCTTTCACTAGCAGTCTTGGAATCAATTGATTCCATAACTGCTAGTAAAAAAGCTGCTCACTGTGTCACTTGGTTGTTACGTGCGCACGCAGAGGTCACTCTGCTGCACGAAAGTTCTGGCCACGATGACGCAGTTTTATCTTTGGATCTCTGCGAAGCTGGAACCACGCCGGAAGCCGTAGCAACTGAAGACAAGTCTGGCAGAGCAGAGTACCATCGTCGGTGGATCCTCAGCGTTGGCGCCGACAGGGTTGTTAAGGCCTGGTCTCTGGACCTTAAGAGGCTAGGGCAACTCACATCCGTCAGTTATGGAGAGCAGCAGGCAAATTCCCTTAGCAACGGACTGCAATGCGTGAGGACGAGTCGTGTACACCGTCAGATCCGTATTCTGGTGGTCGCAGGATGCTACCCGATGCTGGACTCCGCTGGGAAGCAGCAGCATAGAACGGCGAAGAAGCTTCCTCCGTGCTGCAGGACTAAATCTAACAGCACTTCGGCAGCGGCTGGCGGAAAAATTGCCTAGGAAGGAGAATGACTCTTCAAGTGACGCGACAGATATAGACGAGAACATTCCTGATGCACCCATACATTGCCCAGGTAACCCACAGAGCGGACGGCCAAACAGCTTCCCAGGCCAACGACTGGCAGCAGGAGCCAGGGAACCTGACAGCCCCATTCTCTGCAATGGTTCTCATGTGAGAGTGTTTTCACAGAGCTGAGAGCGAGAAGGGCGGTTTCATCTACAGCGGCTGCCCAGCTAGCTGCTTTCCACCTGAAAACATGGCCAAGAAGGTTCGTTTTAACAGTTATGGGGCTCCACTGCTGTAGGCGCAGAAAAGAGAATAAGCACAAAGCTGCTACCGTTTCTTCGGTACTGGGCTGTTTACAGGCGGAATCCTCTGACGAGTAGTCAGATCGAGGCAGCGACTAAATTTGAACAGGTAGGGGGAGGGGGGGGAGGGGAGAGGTAGGCCC